TTGAAAAGTTAATTTTGTCAAAAACTTTTGTGATAACTTTTCACAACATGTTGGAACTTTTTTGTGATAACTTATCACAACATGTTGGAACAAGATACAGCCATAAATCTGAGGAGAAAACTAACAGATCAAGATTTAATGTGGAATAGCCACAAATTGCAAGAAACCAAACTAACAAGAGGAAATGTTTTTCAGACTGGAGATTTAGAGTTCTTTTTTGTTAGAAAAATGTAAATTTATAAAAAATATGAACTGTTTAATTTTACATTTCAAATAACCAGGCACTTCAAATACAATTTAGCTATATTAGATTTTTCATAAGGGACTCTGAGCAACTAGAGGTTAATGTCTGAATGTAACCAGGATAAACAATGTGCTATTCAAGTAATCACAGCGTTTCGGCTATAGAAATTGTTTTCTGGTCGGTAAATAATCGGGTGACTACTTGTATTCACATTATTCCACACCAAGCTGCAAAGTATTTGAGTTGAATAAAGGTCTCCTGTATCGCAAGTAGTCTCTTTTTGAGGACTTTCCCAGGTTTATTACATTGCTTCTACTAAATTTTGACTCAATCCTGCCCTAGCATGAACAATTTATTTATGGCCAGGCATTAAGAGAAGAACTCGAAAAAAAAATGCATTTCAGAGCAATTTCCTTTTAACCACAATGTCTAGTTGTGCATAGTTTGCTACAGAGTCTTCATTTGCTTTGGCGACATGCCATAGTAATTCTTTCAATATTTACCTAATGTTTTCACAACAGCAATCACAACATTTTTTTTCAATACAATGTATGCAAGCAGGCAATAGTTTTTGGTGGCTTTTTTTGGTTTTGAGTAACCATCAAAAACACGCTCTTTAGAAATCGTCAAGTACACATACACTAAAGTTAGTTTACTTATCAGCTACAAATCGATTTTTTAAATAGCACACAGAGCTGCAAAACATTGGAATATGCACTTGTTAACAATATAATAAAGGTTTCCGGTTTACCTAAACTATTATTAACCCTCCACTGAAAAACAGATCCAACTGCTCAATCATAATCAGATTGAATGTCTTCACTTTCCTACAACATAAACTTACTCAATAGTCATCCAAGTACAAATCCATTCCACATTCCACCCACATACCCAACGAAACTCCAAGAGCTAGTTTACATGCAAGCTGATCATTTTTCAGATCAGTCTTGCATAATTTTTAACTTACCCGACAGACCATTTTACTAGAAAAATTCCTAATTCTCACCATTCAAAATATCGGTATCATTGTAAACTACATAACTTATCACAAGTTTACCTTCCCTCTTTCCATTGAAAAGCACATCACAGTAGTGAAGAATAGTTATAAATTAACTCCTTTCAGATTATCTACACAAATTTTACCATTACCATGGAAACTGTCAATCCAACATTCAGTTCAGTATGTATGTATGTATGTTCACTCCACTGGGAATCGTTCTAAGTTGAAGTCTTCAATTTGCTTTAGCACCAGGGCAACTTACCAGATAATTAGTCACTTTGAACAAAATTTAGTACATGCTTGCATACATATTTGGAAATTCAAAAGGACAGCTAAATTTGTACAAGGGTGAACATGCAAATCTTTGAAAAATCTTGATTTCAAACCTATAATCTTTCCTTGCATCAATGATTCCTTCTTTTTACGAGACAAGACTACTTTCAAAACTAAAGCTCAAAATAATTAAGTATTTACCAATAGACTCCTGATGCCTACCTACACACCATAGTCACACACAATTTTACCATCATTGTGGTGAAAGAACCCATGATCCTGTTTGCTTGTGGTACGATCACTCCATACAACAGAAGAATCTTCCTAAGTTGAAAACTTCATTTTACTCGGCACCATGACAACTTACCCGAAGTTAAAATTTAATAAAACAAGTGTGAGAGCCAAAATGAATTCTTAGTAAAAAATATTTCCGAACTTTTCGAATTTTTTGTGAATTTGAATATTCCTAATGCAGTAATAAAATAATGCAATGCGTCTAATTTGGAAAATTTTTTGTGACATGTTACAAATATAATTAAGGTGTTGTGCTCCCTTTGTGCTGCACATACAACAATACTAAAGGAAATCCCATATTCCATACCAGTGTAATTCTGCCCAAACCCACAATATTACCTTTGAGACGATGGCAATCCATTTGTGATTAAAGTTATTAGCATGAAAGACATTTTCCACTGTCACTGCTAACAATCGCTGTACCCGTAACATAATGGATAATTAGCTAATCTACACAAAATGTATTCTTATAGTACAAGTTAACAAGAGTTTCCAGACTATGCACATTAAGTTTTAGAAGCTTTTAAAGCAGGCCCATAAATGTTCCCTACTCAAAGATCTAAGGTCATTACAAAAATTTCAAGAAAGTCACTGCGACTCTGTCCCGGCAAAAATTTATCTTGTGAAATTAACAGGGTTTGGAGAATATCTGCAATTTTACTATAGAGGGGAAAAGGGAGCACAACCCCTTAAAATCAAAGAGGATTTTATTGAAAACTAAAATATTTATTTCATTGAATTGGATAATTTTCAAAATTCACGAAACTGCAAAACGAAACAGCTAGGGGACTTTTGTTTTCAGAGCTAGATTTTCATCGCTTTGGAGCCAGAATGGTGTGTTATTAAAAGTGCAAATAAAAATATACCTGGGTCTGCTTACCAGATACCCACCCATCTTTGTATTTCTGTTCATGGACATTTATAGTGTTATAAAGATGTGCATAGGTACTGACAACCTCTCAGGTACAAGTAGCACTGTGTCAAAAATATAACAGTACAGAGGCAGTTAAGTATACATTGAATTCACGGAGACATTCTACATACACTCACTGGAGGAAAATGTACAGGAAACAAAAAAATTGAAAAAAAGAGTAGTGTTTTCTTACCACTGGTACCAACTTATTAGGTTCAATTCAATATATGTTTAGTCATAAAGCAGGTTTGCTCATGCCTGTCATTAATAGGTTTAACAAGATGTACATCACATCAGACATTTTGCCCTAAAATTCTATGAAAATGTTCCTCTTCAAAGGTCTGAAAACCTTACAGCATCAGATAACTTTTTTTTTAGCAAGAAGAATAATTTGAAAAATGAACACCTAGGGCGACTCGTGTACAAAACATTTAGAACTATCACCGACGCCTACCGGTGTGACACGATCTTTACCACAGTACTATTTCATTAGAAAGTCAATGGACAAACCATTTGCAGTCCCACAAATATTGTAATATGTACAGTTTGAACACACTGCCGTATGCTGTTCGCGCATGTATTTACCCCAAGAATGCTTATGGTGTAGAGACTGACAGATGCAATAAAAGAAAGTATTTACAAGATTCCTATTCATTTGGACTTTTCCAACTGCACTTTACGCATGTGATCTAAATGTGTTATTTCATCATTAATGCAGTATTTGGACAAAAATAGATCGAGAAAGCATTTAGAAACATTTTTGGTCAATATATTTGAACACTTTTTAAAACAAAAAATAAACATGTTATCAACATTTGATCATAAAACAAACTGAAACTATTAATTAACCCAAAAGCAATCCAATTCAGCACTTGTACCCTCGAGACTATGAAAAATATCAGAACACTTGTCTAGCATTGCAACTTTCATCATATGTTCTGTAACATATACTTACAATGCATGTCTCTTTCATGTTCATATTCAATAAAGGCATAGCCTCTAGGTTTACCAGTTTCAACGCTCTGTACCATACGTATCTGAAAACAGAATTATCAACAATACAAGTCATTAACTGTTTTAACTTAAAATAATTAATATGCAATAAAGTAAAGTTTTTCTCTCCTGCAGAATATGACAAACAGAATCAAATATTCATGTACACAATATTTTACCAAGAACTCTAAAGTACAAGCCACTGATTATAGACAAACAAGTGTTTACTTACAGAATTTATAGGACCATACGATTCAAATTCTCTCCTTAATTTTGACTCTGATGTATCATAATTCTGAAAATAGACATTTACATAAAATATAAAAGATAGTCTCAACAGTGAATTAATGAAGCTAATGTACTTTCAAATGACATAAATTTGACATCTACAGACATTGTTTAAAGTGTCCTTGATTGTTGATTCGCTAGTCATAACTAGATGTGTGGAGCAGATGTTCCTTTAACCACATTTTCCAACTCAACTGATTGAATAAGCAGAATCAATATTTCCCCTATTTTTATCTATTTATATATTGGTGCGAGAATTAAATAAAAGTAGTGGTTAAATTAACCAAAAAATGATGTACAAAAAAGCAGCAATCTTATTTTCTTTTCAAATGAAAGCATATAATCCCAGTGATCATGTGCAGGTATCTAAACCAATAAGATCACAAAATTGTAATGCATGAACTTAAATATAAAGACTGACAAGAAATATTTAGCAATTGGAATAGTGGTGAGAATAATGGTTCAAGAAATATGCTCAGTGTAGCTTCAGAACTGGAGAACAAAGTGATATATATACTCACAATTCTTGCAACAAATAAAGTCTTAAAAGCATCTCCAAATCTAGGATTAGCATTTGGATCCCCTAGGAAAATAAAGCACATCATCTATTAGATAAGTCATGAATCCTGAATGATCACCAACACAATTTTAAATCAGTGGTGGTACTGAGCCAGTTCATTTGGTAAACACATCAAGGAATCCAGACAATTACAAGTTTACAATATATTCGTCAGGACAGTATTGTAAACATACATGCAAGAGAATGGCTGCAGTGTACTTACATGATCCACATTCTTCTTGTATCCTCTGGGCAATTTCTTCATTTTTTTCTTTTCTCTACATTAAGGCAAAATTATAATGTATAATACATATACCCTGCAGAATGAAGCCCAAACTCAAGAATCTAATCATACAAGATAATTTGCTAAATGCATCACTGTTCTTTCCACAAAAGGGAACACATAGCGTTGCCACCATGCTTAACGACCAGGACACTATATCTGTAAATATCAATAAGCCATTGTTCCAATGGGCAAATTTGGTCGTCCAATGGTAAAAAGATTTGCCCAGGGCAAACTGACACAAATTTTTAATGTTGCACTTTTTATTCTAAAATACCAAATTATTTTGTATAGACTGTAAAAATAGAATTGAGATTGCAGTTTGCCATTGAAATTTATTTTGTGAAAAGCAGAATTCTAGACTCTTACCCACAACCAGTAGATGGTAAAGCAATAATAAATGAGATTTTTTTTACAATCGACAGACCATACCTTTCGTTCAAGACGTTCTTCTTTTGTTTCTACTCTTGTTGGAGGGGGAGTGTCTTTTGGATCCTGTACAGCATGAAAACAAAAATAAATGTTACAAGATAATTTAAGACTAGTTACTACCATCATACGGCACATATATTTTGAAGTATATAGCAATATTTCAAGACTATCCTAGAGCAGGAAGTTAGGGAAAATAGCATTTGCTTTTGGAAGAGGTGTGAAAAAGCATGGTCATTGTGTGTCCTTAGTAACAAACAAAACAAAGGGTCAACATGTAAAATGATCAACATCTGCAAGTCAACACATGGAATGATATCAGTGTTCTCCCCAAAGCGTTTTAGCGTAGCGGGGCCGCTACTCCATTATTTATGCCGCTACTCTGAGAGATTGCCCGCTACTCTG